TAGAGATCGCATGAAAATTTGAGTGAACAAAAAAAATTGTGGGTCCATATTATATGATAATTTTGATATATTTGACATGTTATATTTTGTCAACTATATATATCTCGTAATTTATATCTTTTATATACGTTTTTTTACATCAAAACTATATAAAAATATGAATTACTAGAAAATATATGTAAGTAATCATGGATGGCCATAATTTTTATGTGGTGTGTAAGTTGAATTTTATATGTGAATTTGGATAAGAAATTTTAGGGGTAAGAGATACGTATAACTCTGATATAAAATGAGATGAGTACAGCAAATTAGACTTATATTGATGATGAATCGATTATACAAAATGATTTCAAGTGAGATATGTTTACATAGCTAGTTGTAATGCTAAATGTTTTAATATGGAGAATATGTCAAATTCCTCGATGATCCTTTGTATTTAAAGCTTGATTCAGCAGTATTGCCTCGTTTTGCGTATTTTGAGTTAATTCTGAGTATTTTAGACACGTTTCCAGTTAATTCTCCAGAATTCTCGCTGATTTGACCTAATAACCAATTTCATTTGACTCTTTCTGAGCTTCACTATTTTTAGTTAATATCCGTTATTAACCTAGTAACCAATCTTATTTGGGCATGCAATCAAACCCAAGATCCGTTATCATTAATTATTAAATATAGTTGTTTAGAAATTTTTGTATGGACCGGATTAGGTAACGAATCTAGCTCTAAAGTGTCTATAGTTTCTCAAATGAATTATAATCATTCGGCCTGCCTGTCCAATCTATAAACCAAAACATTTTTTAAGTTGACTTATGTGTATCAAGGAAGAAACAAAATGTATAACCAGAATTTGTAATTTAATGGTTTATATTTTTATCAAATCAACAACAAAAGATTAATAATTGTATCATCTAGAGTTATTGTTCAGAATCATTATTTCAAGAGGTGGGCAAACGAAAATTCGGAACGGAAATGTTCGGGAACGGGAATGGGACGGAAATTTGAGAATCAAAATACTTGTCCCATTCATGTCCCATATACAATTT